GTGTGTGTGTGTGTGTGTGAAACAGAGAGAGAGAGAGAGAGAGAGACTTGTGGGGTTGAGCAGTTGTCAGAACAGGGGTACGATATCTTGTACATTCCAAGGTGACCCTTAACAATCCTGGGGCCAGGACTCAGTCAAGGGAGATACTAAGCAGGGGGTCTGTTTTAATTCGTGGGACACCTTTGCAACCAGATTAATAAATTGAAAGATTTAGTACAGACATGGAAGTCCCTGTGCCCTGGGTTTCTGGAGTAGGAGAGAGGCCACTTCCCGCTTCAACATGTGTGACATCATCTCTCATCAATCTTTCTCATGTTTATTCACCTTGCGACACTGACTTCACTTTTTTTGACTTGAATGTTTGAAACAAGCACCTTCCTCGGGGACTTTGTGCCGACCATTCCCTCTGCTGGGCACATATGTACCCACATAAACTCAGTCTCTCCTTTATATCTCCTCTCTGTGTCTTCATACTACCGGTCAGCATAGGATGTTATATAATTTTACTATTTGTTTATATAGTCTCATTATATATACGATTGAATGGTAGGGACTTTGTTCTTCAGCACCCATTGCCTAGATATGATTAAAACATGATCAGGCCTCATATTACATTCCTGAATTACGTGAAGAAATTCTCATTAAAACTGTCAAACACATGACCCTTAGGGAAAAAGCTAACTGGGACAAAGATTCCAGATCAGGAGGGGTACAAAGATCCCTTATATGGGATCATATCCATACACAAAACATTAAAATTAATTTTGGCAGCAAAATATAAATTGTAGCATTTCTAATATGTGAGTAATGCAAGTTTGTGCAGAAAATAGCCATGTTATATCCTTCTTTTCCAGAGGTCACTTTCATTGCATGGAAACAGACAATGCTACACGAATTTCAGAATTTCTTCTTCTCGGATTTTCAGAGGAGCCAGCATTGCAGCCCCTCATACTGGGGCTTTTCCTCTCCATGTACCTGATCACTGTGTTTGGAAACTTGCTCATCATCTTGGCCATCACTTCAAACTTTCACCTCCACACACCCATGTACTTCTTCCTCTCCAACCTGTCCTTTGTAGACATCTGTTTCACCTCCACCACCATCCCAAAGATGCTGTGGAACATCCAGACCCAGAACAAAGTCATCACCTATGAAGGCTGCATCACTCAGATTTATTTTCTCATACTCTTTGCAGTGCTGGACATCTTCCTCCTGACCGTGATGGCCTATGACCGGTTTGTGGCCATCTGTCACCCCCTGCACTACATGGTCATCATGAACCCCTGGTTCTATAGGCTGCTAGTTCTGATGTCCTGGATCTTGAGTGTCCTGAATTCCTCTTTACACAGCTTGATGATGTTGCGACTGTCCTTCTGCACAAACTTGGAAATCCCACACTTTTTCTGTGAACTCAATCAAATGATCCAACTTGCCTGTTCTGACACCTTTCTCAATAACATGGTGATGTACTTTGCAGCTGTCCTGCTGGCTGGTGGTCCTTTTGCTGGTATCATGTACTCTTACTCTAAAATAGTTTCTTGCATACGTAGGATCTCGTCAGCTCAGGGGAAGTATAAAGCATTTTACACCTGTGCGTCTCACCTCTCCATTGTCTCTTTATTTTATTGCACGATGCTAGGAGTGTACCTTAGCTCTGCTGCTACCCACAGCGCACACTCAAGTGCAACAGCCTCAGTGATGTACAGCTTGGTCACACCCATGCTGAACCCCTTCATCTACAGTCTGAGGAATAAAGACATGAAGAGGGCTCTGAAAGCGCTGTTTGTGAAGGGAACTGTATAAGGGCCATGTCCTAAAACCGAGAAAGCACCCATTATTGCGAGGTCAGAGCTTCAGAATCAGAAATTGTCATTTTTTGATCAGAATATGGAAGTACAATTTGCTGTTTTTAATTATTTTCTGGAATTTCTATTTCTTTGAGCTCAAACTCAACTTCTCTATTCAATTTATGTTAACTCATTTTATTAAGCCCTCTGCTGTCTCTGATATCCATCAGATGTTCCTTTTTTTTAATTCTTACTTTCCAAAATTTATTTCAACAATGATTCAGAAATACTTGGTATATGTGTTGCCAAAGCCAGTACTGAATCAGAAATATTTGGAAATTTCACTTTACCTAATGAAACAACATGGATTTTTAAAAATACTTTTTCTCAAATTGCATATATCATACCAAATAGTTTTCTTTCCTTTTACTAAAATAATTCCCAAATCAACAAAATGATTTTACTAAAACTATTCATATCAAAAAAAATGCACTTGATGACCAAAACATTTTACATAAATTTTATAATAGAGGAACATCTGAGACACAATATTCACTTTTGTACCTAATTTTCCTTTGCACATTACTATCATAACTGATTTTTCTGATATTTCAGACTGTAACATACTACTGTGATTTATAGCAAGTCATTGATTTTTGTTTTGTTTTTCATATTCCAAATGAAAGTGAGATTCCACATGTAAGAGAGTCTTTCTCTGTCTGACATATTTCACTTAGCATAATACGTTCTGCATCCATCCATGTTGCCTCAAAGATCAAGATTTAATTTTTTTAAAGGCTGTTACTCCATTGTATATATCATGCTTTTATTATCCATTCATCTATTGATGGACACTTAGGTTGCTTCCATATCTTGGTTATTGTAAATCATGCTGCAATGAACACTGTTGTGCACATATCTTTTTGATTTAGTTTTTTCTTTTGTTTTCTTTTGGCAGATACCCTGAAGTGAAATTGCTGAATCATATGGAAATTCCGTTTTTAATATTTTGTGGAACCTCCATACTGTTTTCCGTAATGGCTGCATCAAGTTACAATTCCCACCAACAGTGCACAAATGTTCCCTTTTCTCCATATTCGCGCCAACATTTATTATTTCTTATCTTTTTGGTGATAGTCATTCTGACAGATGTGAAGGAGTATCTCTTTGTGGTTTTGACTTTCATTTACCTAATGATTAGTGCTGTTGAAAATCTTTTATTTGTATGTTGGCCAACATTATGTCTTCTTTGGAAAAGGCCTGTTCAGATCTTCTGCCCGTTTTTAATTGGGTTGGGGTTTTTCTTGATGTTGAGTTTATGAGCTCTTTATATATTTTGGATATTAATGCTCTGTTGAACATAACATTTGCAATTATCTTCTCTCATTCAGTAGGTTGTCTTTTCATTTCATTGATAGTATTCTTCACTGTGCAAATCTTTTCATTTTCATGTTGTCCTACTTGTTTGTTATTGCTTTTGTTTGCCTTGCCTGAGAAGACAGATCAAAAAATATACATATATTTTTGACAGTGGGGCAATATCCAGCACCAAGTGCTAGGAGAGTGCTAGGACACCTCATGGGCACCCAGAAGTACCTACCTCCCCCACAGATACCCAATGCACATTTGTTCACATGGCCCTCCAGAATAGAGAGGAAATAAAAATAGAAATTAAAGAAAACAATAAAAGGGTCAATAAAAGAAAGAGTTGGTTTTTTTGGAAAGATAAACAAAACTGATAAGTCTTTAGCCAGGCTCACCAACGAGAATAGAGAGAGGACAGAAATCATAAAAGTAAGAATTTAAAGAGGAAAAACAGCACCTAATACCACAGAGATACAAACAAAGAAACAAACAACAAACAAAAAATAGAATACTATGAATGGCTGTATACCAACAAATAGAACAGCCAAGAAAACAATGAACAAATGTCTATAAACAAACAACATGCAAAGACTGAATCAAGAAGAAACAGACAATTTGAACAGATAAATCACTAGGAGTAAAACTGAATTTGTAATTAAAAAACAAGAATTCCCAGCAACAAAAGTCCAGGACTGCACAGCTTCACAGGGGAAATCTACTTAATATCTAAAGAAGGACTAATATCTATCCTTCTCAAACTATTGCAAAAAATTCATTCTACAAGGCCAACATTACCCTGATACCAAAACCAGACAAAGACACCATAAAGAAAGAAAGTTCTAGGCTAAAATCTTTGACGAACGTAGATTCAATAATCCTCAACAAAATATTAGCAAATTGAATCCAACACTATATGAAAAGAATCATACACCATGATCAAGTTGGATTTATTCCAATGTCACAAAGATGGTTCAACATTCACAAATTACAAAGTGATAGACCCCTTTAACAAAAGGAAGGATAAAATCACATGATCATTTCAACAGATGCAGAAAAAGCATTTGACAAAATTCAACATTCATCTATGATTAACACTCTCGTCAAAGTTGGTGTTGAGGGAACATATCTCAACACGTAAAGGCCATTTTTGACAAACACGGTCAACATCATACTCAACAATGAAAACCTGAAAAGTTTTTCTCTAAACTCTGAAGCAAGACAAGGATGACCTCTCTTGCCACTTTTATTTAACGTAATAGCAGAAGTCCTAGCCACAGGAATCAGACAAGAAAAAGAAATAAAAGGCATACAAACTGAAATGGAAGAGGTAAAGGTGTCACTATTTGTAGACGACAAAAGATACTTTATATAGAAAACCCTAAAGCCTCCACTCAAAAACTATAGAATCAATAAATAAATTCAGCAAAATTACAGGGTACAGATTAATATATTAAAAATCTATATAATATAAATTTCTATACACTAATAATAAAGTTTCAGAAGGAGAAAGAAAAAAGCAATTCCATTTAAAATTGCATCAAAAAGAATTTAATACCTAGGAATAAACTTAAGCAGGGAGATGAAAAACCTATACTCTGGAAACTATAAATCATTGATGAAGGAAATTGAAGATGACAAAAGAAATGGAAAGATACTCCCATGCTCTTCGACTGGAAAAATTAATACTGTTTAAATATTAAAATTTAAAATTAAATATTACCTGAAATTTTGCTGAAAATCTAATGATTAATACACTATATTTTCTACTCTTGATTTAATGAAGATGTTTTATTCTCAGTTTTATTAAGTATGAAAAGTTGTCCCTGTTTTGTTTTTTTCCAAATAAATAAAGTTAATGAAGACATCTAAAAACAAATGGCCATACTACCCAAAGCAATCTATAGGTTTAATGCAATCCCTATCAAAATAACCATAATATTTTCACAGAATTAGAACAAATAATCCTAAAATTTATACAGAACCACAAAAGACCCCAAATGGCCAAAACAATCTTGAGAGGGGAAAAAAAAGCTCTTCCAGACTTTATACTACAAAGATACAGGAATAAAGTTTGTAATAAGCTGGCCTCAAGAAGATTAGCCATGGTTACCTAGGTGGGGCTAATTTAATCACATGGTCCTCTAAATATGGATGAAGAGGCAGAGGAGTTGGAGTTTCTGTCATTTCTCTCTAACTTTCTTTCAAGTCTCATGTCTGCATTGGAAAATGGAGTTCATAATAGTACTACCTCATAGGATGGAGTTTTCTAAAAATTAAATCTTACAATCCCTACCAGGTACTAAAATCTACATGTTCTCTTACAATTAAAAATATTTTCTACTGACAGGCATATGTAGAATAGATAAACAAGATTATACTGTATAGCACAGGGAAATATATACAAGATCTGGTGCTGGCTCACAGAGAAAAAGAATGTGACAATGAATGTATGTATGTTCATGTATAATTGAAAAATTGTACTCTACACTAGAATTTGACACAACATTGTAAACTGACTATAACTCAATAAAAAATTTTTTCTAATGAGAGACTGACAGCTCTTAACTGGTGCCATAAGTATGAAGTTCCTAATCATTTTGGCAAAACTGTCATGAATCCAAGCAGTGTACTGCCCAAGGTTTTTTTATTAAAGGAAAAACTATACCACTTCTTAAAGATGGGAATAGTAATTTTCTAGAGACATCAGGAGGTATGACCCACCATAAGTAAATGCTTTGATTGGGAGCCTAATCAACAGAATTCTCAAACATAAACTCAGGAGAAAAGTGGAACTCAGGGTTGGGATGAGGTGCTGAGGCCTCAAGGCTCATTCCTCTGGAATATAAGAGCGATTGTGGAAGGAGTAATCAACACTGAATTCGCCTGGCTTGTAATACTGTCTCCTAGATGCAGAGAATGAGCAGGAAATTTTTCCAATCTGTCCAGAAGAATGTCCCTCAGGGAAATCAATTATTACAGGTGTTATTAACAAGAGGGAGATGCGCTAATGAGCAGACACAGGGAGCTGTAAATATCTCCTCTGCTGTAGTCCCCCAGCCTGTGCAACCTTGGGCTGGGTCAAATATGGTTGTTGCTTTTGGAGTCATAACTCTGGCTAGGGGACCAATGCTCAACTCCACCCTGTTGTCTTGTCTGGAAAGAGTTTCTATGTCCATCCAGAAGAAACTGGACATCTTTGCTGAGACCTTGCTCTCAGAGACTCCACCCAGGTGAGTCCAAAAGCCCAGTAAATACTGCAGGAGGAGGTCAAAGGGAATAGCAGCCAAGAACATTTACCTGGGTTCACTTGAGAACCAATTCAGACTAGCCCAGAGCTGACACCTCTGTGGCTGTTTGTTTGCTTGACTAATTAATGTAGTGATTAATGATGCCAAAAATAGAATATTGAACTCAACAAAGCAAGGGTCGATGTTGACCATTAAATGATGGGCATGGAAGCCCAATTAGAAGAGAGAATGGGAGGTGTAAGGTGCTTCCACTAAAGGTAGAACTTCAGTCCAAGGACTCTTGCAATTAACTGGAGTAAAGATACAGCTTATTAGCTGTAAAAGGATGTACAGTGATGGGAGATTTTTTTTTAAGACAGAACATTTTGATGAGTGAGATCCAGGTAAACGAATGGTCGCAAACTTTTTCTTGTAACAGCAGTCCATGAGACATACATTTCACAGTATCTCTTCTCTCTTAACAATCAAATGAAAAAAATTGATTATGTGAAAATGGGCAACTTTGCAAAGATTTCATTCCCTGTGAGGCTGACTGTATTTGTAGGTTAGTTAGCCCATTACATCCTCTATTTAAAATTGCCTCTACAGGTCCTTCACTTCTGTATAGTGAATTCAGCATGTTTTTATTCCTGTTTTTGATTATATTCTTTCAAATTAAGAATTGGACTTTTTATCATCAGGTTTGTTGTTTGCCACTTAGATTAGGCATGTGTACAATTGTGTAGAATGTCTGAGTTTATAAATTTTGTGTGATAAAATGTGTCAGTCATATTATGTTCTCTCCCTTGCTTAAGAAAAAAACTTTAGCTGAAAGAATTGAGTTTTCATTTTTTTTACTTGCGAATCTTTGCCTTAAACAAAAATGAAAATGAATACACTTCTACGTATTTGGTGCTCATAAATCATGCTTTATACATAATTCCAACTACTTTCCACATCTTAATTCTTATTGTCCTTTCATTCTTCTGTGATTAGGTCTGTTTCAAAAAGTTGCGTTGTGTTCAGTTTCCATTTGGAAGGCATTCTTCTTTACATTTGACTAAATTATTTTTCACATGCATATTTGAATCCATATATTTCTATGTAAGAGGAAGTTTATAACTTGGTGCTTCTGTCTCATTTTTTAAAACTTGCTGTCAATTATTTTATTTCCAAGTCTTTTGTAATTTAAAATTGATTTAGTGATATTATTAAATTAAATTATTATATTGCATTTTCCTTCAATTTGTTTCATATAGTTTTTTATATTGGATTTCCTAAAATGCAGAAGATACAACATATGGACAAGGGACCCCTTGTGAATTGAAGTTGTAGCAGCAGCGGGGAGGCTACCTCATTCCTCAACATTCTCTGACACCATCACTTCTCACTCTTCCTCCTGCTCATTTCCTTCGCCGGGGTGGCCCCCTTTTGGGACTAGAACATCTTAAACACCTTCTTCAGGGCATTTCTTTGCACTGTCTGTTTCCTTGCCCAGGCACACTTTACCAGGTTTGTTCATGCACTGGTTCTATCTTCCTTGAGGTCTTTGTTCAAATATCCCCTTGTTCACAGGTCTCGCCTGAACGTGCATTAAAAAAATAGAACTCCTTTTTCACTCTCTCCTTTATACCTCCTTTTTTTGTCTTCATAACACTGTCACCATCTGACATGCTAAATAATTTTTATTTACTTTTATTCTGTCTCCATAACCAGATTTTGGGAGCTTTGGTTTTTCAGCACCCTGCACTCCCTGCATAGTAAGTGACTGGAGCATTTTCTCAATTCAATTTGTATTTCTCAAGTGCATGAAAGAGTTTCTTATCAGAACTGTGAATACATGAATCTGGGGGGAAAAGGAGAGGGGGATATGTCTGCTAATTAGAGATAACATAGAGGATTTTAAAAAGGGGACCAAATCCAGGAAAAAAATATTGAAATTAATTTCTTAATGGGAAATATAAATGGCAACATTTCAACAATGTGAGTAATGCCCATTTGTGTGACAATTAATCATACATTCCCCTTTTCTAGTAGTCACTTCCACTGCATGACACCAAGGAACATAACAGGAGTTTCAGAATTTCTTCTTCTGGGATTTTCAGAGGAGCCAGAACTGCAGCCCCTCATGTTTGGGCTTTTCCTCTCCATGTACCTGATCACAGTGTTTGGAAACCTGCTCATCATCCTGGCCGTCATCTCAGACTCCCACCTCCACACCCCCATGTACTTCTTCCTCTCCAACCTGTCCTTTGTAGACATCTGTTTCACCTCCACCACCATCCCAAAGATGCTGTGGAACATCCAGACCCAGAGCAAAGTCATCACCTATGAAGGCTGCATCATCCAGATGCATTTTTTTACACTCTTTATAGGATTAGACATCTTCCTCCTGACTGTGATGGCCTATGATCGGTTTGTGGCCATCTGTCACCCCCTGCACTACATGGTCATCATGAACCCCCGGCTCTGTGGACTGCTGGTGCTAGCATCCTGGATCATATGTGTCCTGCATTCCTTGTTAGAAAGCTTAATGATGTTGCAACTGTCCTTCTGTACAGCCTTAGAAATCCCCCACTTCTTCTGTGAACTCAATCAGATGATCCAACTTGCCAATTCTGACACCTTTCTCAATAACATGGTGATGTATTTTGTAGCTGTGTTGATGGCTGGTGGTTCCCTCACTGGTATTATTTACTCTTACTCTAAGATAGTTTCCTCCATACGTGGAATCACATCATCACACAGGAAGTATAAAGCATTTTCCACCTGTGCATCTCACCTCTCCGTTGTCTCCTTATTTTATTGTACAGGCTTAGGAGTGTACCTTAGCTCTGCTGCTTCCCACAGCTCACACTCGAGTGCAACAGCCTCGGTGATGTACACAGTGGTCACCCCCATGCTGAACCCCTTCATTTACAGTCTGAGAAATAAAGACTTAAAGAGGGGTCTAAAAATACTCTTTCAAAAGAAAACTATAAATAAGCCTATTATCCTAAGGCTTAAGAAGTACCCATGAAAGCAGAGCTCAAAGCCTGAGCAAGATGTTGCCAATCTTTGATCAAACTGTGGAAGTAGACCATGCTTTTTCTATTTCTCTTGGAATTTCTATTTCAACTTTGACTTTATCCAATTTATGTAACTCACTTTTATGTTTTGGAATATCTCTGATATCCAAGGTTTTTTTCCCTTATTAATTTTTCTATTCTCCCCATTGTATTTCCAACCTTGGATGTGAACTATTTGGAAATTCCCATTCATCTCAAGAAAGTACATGGATCTCTGAATAATAATTTCTTCTCAAATGAAATATACTGAGTTTTTAAAATTTTATTTAATGAAAAGAATAGTCATGAGTTTTAATACTCTTATGGGAGAAAACTCCTCTTGGCAAATAGAACTATTTATAAGTTTATAAGAGAGAAAAATCTGAGACCTCTGTTTTTCACTTTTGTAAACATCATTCCATTTCATATCACTACCTTAATTACTCTTCCTGATAATCCAAACTTTAACATACTGGTTGTTGTCACTAATTATGGGATATTTTTCTACTCATTAGAATTTTATTCTTCTATGTAGTTTGCATTTACTGTGTCTACCATAGTCACTTGCAAAAATTGATAATAAAATACATGTCTCTCCTGGATAAAGAAGATGTGGTATATTTATACAATGGAATACTATTCAGCCATAAAATGACAACATATGCCATTTGCAGCAACATGGATGTCCCTGGAGAATGTCATTCTAAATGAAGTAAGCCAGAAAGAGAAAGAAAAATATCATATGAGATTGTTCATATGTGGAATCTAAAAGAAAAGAAAACAAAACAAAAGAAAAGAAAAGAAAAGAAAAGAAAAGAAAAGAAAAGGAAAGAAAAGGAAAGAAAAGAAAAGAAAAAGACAAATGAACATAAATACAAAACAGAAACAGACTCATAGACATAGAATACAAACTTGTCTCTGCCAGTGGGGAGAGTGGTGAAAAGGGAGACTGGGAGTTCAAAATATGTATATTTGGGAATAGATAAATAAGATTATACTGTATAGCACAGGGAAATATATACAAGATCTTGTGGTAGCTCATGGTGAAAAAGAATGCAACAATGAATATATGTATGTTCATGTATGACTGGAAAATTGTGCTCTACACTGAAAATTAACACCACATTGTAAACTGACTATAACTCAATAAAATAAAATTTAAAAAGTAAAATAAAATACTTGCCTCCAAGTGGACTCTACACAGAAAAACATATGCAAAAATAGATAGATATAATATGGTCTTAGAGTAGAGTTGACCTTAAGTATGGTGAGGCAAAATATTAAATCATACATTTATTACTATGTAAAGTATTTCATTTTAGCTGTTCATCTACTCATTGAAATATGGAATATCAGTGTCCATTTGCAAGATGTATTCATTGAGCTAAAGGACTGAAGGCATGTTTTGCCTTTTTATTAAATTATTTTTTTTCTGTTGGAAAATTCCAGTGCCTCTACAAAATATAATCCTTTTATTTCTCTAAAAGAAATCTCTCCCACTCTTCAAAATTTTGTCACAACCACTAATAGGGCAGAGAATTAACAATACCAGTATCATCCTCATAATCAAATGATGAGTCACTGGAAAGCTGGGATTCCTGCTCAGGTATGTGATTCAGGGTCACAGGTGTTGTGCAAACACCCATGTCCTTCCAACCTCTCCATGTGACCTCAAAGAGACCTCAATGGAGTTGCTTTTCATACAGTTATAGGAAAGAAACTTGAATAATATCGAGTAAAAGCATCAGAACAAATGCCTGGAACAAGCATTTGATTATTGTATTAGTTATTGTGAAACCAAGCAGGACCTTGTGGGGCCTTCCCAGGGACAGACACCACCTCGCCCTATGCCTCTGCCTCTTGTTTAGAAAAGCTTTAGTGTCTAGGACTTCCCTGAGTTCCAAGGAGCACATTTAATTAAACAGAAAAATTGAGAAAATCAGAAACAAAGAAAGCAGTAGAGCAGGGCCTAATAATAGCAGTTTAGCCATAAAACAAAGTCAAGGACCTTTAGTTCCTCCTCAGGGGCTATAGATAATATTTTGAACCATATCTTTGAGTTGTTTTGCCAATACTAAAACCCCAAGCAGATAGAAAATATTAGCTACATGCTGACCCCGAGCACATAGACCCTACACTAGCTGAAACCAGAAGATTGATGACAGAGATTCCCAAAACATCCAAATAACTAGAATAATCGTACAGGAGCTGACTACACATCCTTCCACCTTCTCCCTCATTCTGTCTTTTAAAAACCCTTCCCTGAGAGCCTTTGGGGAGTTCAGATCTTCTGTGCGTGAGCTGCCCATTCTCCTTGCTCGGCCCCTAGTTGGGCACCTTGCGATAAATACTGTACTTTCCTTCACCCCCAGCTAATGTCATTAGATTGGCTTTACTGCACACAGGCGAGCAGACGCAAGTTTGGTTCAGTAATGACTGCTGCATACAAACTTCCTTGGAATAAAATTGTTTAGTATAATATCTTTCTTCTTAAATGGGATTGTAGGATGGGGAATTGTTCTGATCACTGCAGGACTTCTCATGAGTCTTTAGTTTTACATTTTAATGTAAAGCAAAGTTGTCTCTCTTATAAAGAGGGGAATAATAATTTTCTAAGGGTATCATGGGCTGTAACCTCACCACAGGTCAATGCTTTGAAGACCCAAGGAACTTATTCAAGACAATTGTTGGAGAAAATTTAAATTCAGGGTTGAAATAAGGTGCTGGGAATTTAGACCTCTGGAAAGCAAGAGAGTTAATGGAGAAGGATTAATAAAAACTTGAGTTCTCCTGGCTTATAACCTAATCTCCTGAGAACAGAGAATCAGCAGGGAAATAAAAATCCTTTCTATCTAGACCAAGTCCCACAGGGAAATCAAATAATTATAGGTCATTGTAATATGAGGGAAATGTGCCTAATAAGCAGGCATAGCTGTAAATATCCCCTGTGCTGCAGTCCCTGATCCTTGGCATGGACGAGACAGGTTTGTTGCTTTGGGAGTCCTAAGTCTGACTAAAGGACCAATTCCTGACCCCTTCCCGCTGTCTCGTCTAGGGACAGAGCTCCAGTCTCCATCATCAACCAACCAGGAAGGGATTCGAGTATCCACACAAAGACCTTCATCTCAGGCTTCCCATGCAGGAGTCCACGAGCCTAAAAGACACTGCAGTTAAAGGTCAGAGAGAATGAAACCCAAGAATGTTTACCAGAGGTCACCTGAGAACCAACTCAGCCTAACCCAGAGCCCAGAGCCTGCTTGCTTGATTGAAATATCAATGTATTTTTTAGATGCTAAAGGAAAAGTGAATACTGAACAAAGCAAGGCAATATTCAGTGATGCCAATTAAATGGTAAGAAATTAGGTCAATTAAAAAAGGAGAGGCATGAAGTGCTTCCAGTAAAAGTAGAACATATGTCCAAGTATCTTATTAATTAACTGAAGTAGAGAAATAAGGTATTAGCTATGGAGGATTATAAAATGCAGTGAAGGTATTTCTTTCTATCTTTTAAGACTGGGCATATTTGACCATGACTCCATATTGCTGAGAAAGAGCCACATCAAAGAATGCTGCAAATACATCCCTGCAAAGGTAGTGTATATATTCCACAGCATAGGAGATATATATTTCACAGTGAAATAAATTTTAAAACTTTTAAGATGTGAAAAGGGGCATGCTAATGAGCTTACCTTGCAATTATTTCAATATGTGGGGCTGAATATGCATATAGATTTGATAGCCATTGACTTTCTCTATCCCAAATTATCTGGGTGAGTCCTTGATTTTGTGCATCAGGATCTGAGAATTTTTACTCCTGTTTTTTAGTGCAATCTTTTGATCAAAGAATTGGAGTTATTTTCACAAACTGCCTATTTGCCATTTAGTTCTTCTTGTATGTATGCATAAATGTATTTGAGGGGAATTTTGAGGGTATATAAATTTTGTGTGGTCAAATCTATCAATCATATTGTGTACTCTCCATTGCTTTTCTATATTTTTGGAAGAGTTAATATTCTTCACCTACAAATCATTGTTTTAAACAAAAATGATTGTGAAAGTTCTGCATCTTTAGTGCTAAAAAAAAGTCACTCTTTACGTTTCCCAGCAAGTTTTTACATCTCTGTTATTCCTTATTGCCCTTTTTGGCCATTGTGATTAGGTCTATTTTGAAAACTTGCATCATTTTTGGCCATCATTTAGAAGGCATCTTTCTTTACCATTGACTAAAGATCACCCTTATCTACCTTAAGCACATTGAAGTACACAAATCTTCACATAAGATGAAATTATAACTTAGATACTGCTTTTTCCCTACATCTTTAAAGTCCGCTGTAATATCCTTCTATTTCCAAGTTTTTGGCAATTTAGTAATAGTGGCCCATGTGGATGTCATTTAAAAATTACTTTTCCATATCTTCATATAACTTACCTGTAGATTTTCATTCAATTTTATTACCTATAGTTGTTTTTAAACCACTCTACTTAACCTAGGTTCATTCTCACTGACATTTTCCCCCATAAGATCTTAGTTTCTTTTAAAACATCTCTTTCTATAGCATGTACACATATAAAATCCATACACTTTTATACAAGTACAAGAATAGGATCCTATCCACATTGTAAATTCATCGTTTTCCCTACATTTTCTCCTGTTGTCCCTCTTACTCAATAATTCCTCGCAGACTTGCCTACAGTCACTAGTATAATAATGACTCATTATGTTTACGGCTGTATAACATGTCACGGTGTGCTACTGCTGCTCTCACTTTGATGGTTTTTCATATCCTCTATCATTGGTCACTATTATATAAATGCTCCAAAAATATGTTAAGGTAGTGAAGTTCAAACTCTGGCTCTAACAGTGGCTGATTTTGTCCCCAGGGTACATTGGACAATGTCCAGAGCCTTTCTTGGCTGTCACATGCAAATGGCTCAGTAGAGGTCAAGTATGCTGTAAACATCCTACAATGCA